TAATATCGAATAATTTCTGCAAACAAAGGAGATTGTTGTGATCGCCGTTGAAGTATGGGCATTTATTCGCAAATTTCGATGAAATTTCAGAATTTTCAGTCAATTTGGAAGGAAAGACGTGGTAATTACTCCAAATGAACAAGTCTCCTAATATTTTAGAATAATCACCTCTGACAAAGAGGTGTTGTTTCGGTTACCGTTTATTTGTGTGTTTGTCAGTGAGTAGAATTAATCAGTAAATGGATCATCACCAAATCTTATCAGTTCTTCCTTAATTGATTAATGGATACATCTTGGTTTTAACTAATGAATAAAAATATTAATCTTGTCGTATATCTGCGCTCTCTGAGTGGTCCTGTTCTTATTGCCATTCTTTTGAGAACTTAAAATGCTCTTTTGTTTAATTTAAATATACATTGCAGCATTATTATGTACAAGATGCTGTTTGGGTAATCCATGGCTGAAGAAGTGATTCGGTATATAAAGCTTGGTGTGAGGTTTCAATGAAATGAAAGTTTAGTCAAACTCTCAGTCTTTATATATATATATATATATATATATATATATATATATATATATATATATATATATATACTCTTATTCCAGCTGAGTTTCCAAAGTGGTGGCCTTTTGTTGTGAACTTGAACTCGTACGGAGACAGAGCTTACGCCGCCAATGAACCAGTGGGCACAGTAGGTTTGTCGGTAATAGAGCCAGGATGCGCCGAGTTTAACGGAACCGGTAAGGGGATGTCTTCTTTATTTACCTAGATAAGATTTTATTAATCCAATTATAAGATAATTAATTTAATTTTTTTCCATGAAATTGTAAAACATTTATTTCCGATACAATAATTAACTACAACTGTATCTTTTACTTTCGAGGCGGACTTCAGATTCCGTACTTTCAAAATATGCGTCCAAGGTCGAGCTGGGTGACTGCTGCTGTCTTCAATAGACCCGTGCCCCAGGATGCTGTTATCCTCTTCAGGTGCTTTACCATCTTCATAAACGGTGATGAAGTCTCAGCGTCTGTAGTAGTCCAGAACCCCTTGGGCGAGGAGCAGGCTCTTACTGTCTCAGTTACTGTAAGTTTATTCACTTAGGCTTCGTTCACATGGAAAGTCTATTTTCTAAAAATCTATTTTCTATTCGCGGTATCTTATGATCTCGGTCTGTGCCCTGAATATCCCGCGGCGTAATTACTGGCAGCGCGAGCCAGTTACTTATACAAAGCTGTAATTAATTCTCGACTGTGCTCGCATTCTATAAAATCTCATCCTCCGTTGCCGCATCGCTTGCCACCGGATCATGACGGTTGCACTCGTATCTGTCGTGTGTATAGCTTCTTCATCTTCTTCGTCTTGTTGTTGCACAAAATCGACAAACACATTTTTCAAAGCAACCGCGACCGCCATTAACTTTCTAACTTCCTACTGCGCATGCGTCAAGGTATCAGAATCTCCTCCGAGCACAGCCGAGAATTCATTAAAGCTTTGGAATTAACTGGCTCGCGCTGCCAGTAATTACGCCGCGGGATATTCAGGGCACAGACCGTGATCACAAGTTATACCGCGAATAGAAAACAGATTTTTAGAAAATAGACTTTCCATGTGAATGAAGCCTTATTCCATTTTATGAATTTTGTTATATCTTTGTAGTTCGTTTATTAGTAAAATAAATCGTCCAATTTGCAAAGTATTGATTCACTGTAATAATAGCAATTTAACTGGTCAGGTCAGGTGTCATAGCCCCAGGTCAGGAGCCTTAACCTCATGTTAGGGGCCATAACATCAGGCCAGGGATCATATCCTCGTGTGAGTACATTCATTCACTTATTTATTAAGTCTTTGGTAGGGCATTAGTGCAGTATGAACTCTGTTGTGTACAAGCATGGGTGGAACAGAAATAAGTAGGTAAATGATTTGATGATTAAGTCTCATAGGTAAATAGCTGATTTAATAATTTGTAATCAGTATGAACAATCGTGTGTTATTGCAGGCACCAGGGGCTGGATATATAGGCGTGATCGTGACATGGGACGGCAAGACCTTAATCCTCACCGTATACGCCGGCGGCGCCGTGTACCAGGACTCTGCTACAGTACCAGATGGTAAGCAAGGTCTAAGCATTGAGTTATATCTTAAATGTATTATGCCACATCTTATATAAGTTAACGAAGTTGCCCATGGACTAAGGGATTGGTATACCTACATACAGGTACATGTAATTCACTAACTATAACGAAAAATAACTACTAGTACATGTACTAAACAACCATCGCTGTACTGCAAACAACTAACATATTTGGATCGTTATCTGCAAAGAAATATACAGCTTTTTGTAAAATTGCTCTGTTATTGATAATGATATCGATGTTAAAAATCTGAAGAAATGAAGAGCATTCTGTAAATGGAGCAGGTCATTTCAGATTGTCTTGTGGAAAGGCACCATTGCACCTCCAGTGGAGCAAATGTAAAATGGGAAATAAAAATTGTAGCATGTATCGTAGGCGTAATGGGCAAAATTTACCACTTTTCAATTATGTTCGTTTATTCAAATTAGCGCAACAGGCCTTTGCTTTTTACGCAATCGCAAATGGCAACCCCTACTCCTACCACGGGTTTTGAAATTGTACGTACTGTAAACCATACATCTTGGTCTATATACAGAATTTTACTCCTCACGATCTTATAGTCCACGATTCAAAATGGTCTTTTTTGTACATTATTCGACTACTTGACAAAGGGTCTACATTGTGATTTTGGATTCTAACAGTGAAACAAGCACAAAAAATGATTGAACCGTGATTTGCCGACATCTATTGATTTAAAACTGTTCCTCCCATCCTCCGATTTTTATTAAACTTAAAAAACGAAGCATGGGAGAGAAATGTTACCGAACGAAAAGTCAAAAATTAAGAATCTGCAGAAGAAATTGCAGTCCGCCAAATCCAGATCACTGCAAAACCTTAATCCGCATCAAAGTTAATTTCAATTAAAGAAGTTGGAAGAAATTCTGAACAAGTATGTCTACGCAACTTGGAAAGATCTCATCCAAATTCAAATTGCACAGACATTTAAATTAGCATTCTCATATTCATATAAAAAGTTCTTGAATTGCGGGTTAACAGACAGGCTAGCGCGATTTCAATAAATATAAACAGGCCCTGGCCAATTCCCAATCTACAGGACCTTTTTGAAACTAAATTATTTGTAAGCTTGCTGCTGCCTAATATATTTCAACATGCTATTTCAGACCCCGACAACGATTTTATATGGTCCATTGTTTGTGAGCCACAAGAGCCTTTATTCGTCGGCCACGTACCACCCAAATACAGCGTACCAGGTCTCCCAGGAAGCTATTCTGGCAATATTTGTTTGGTAAGTATTGGTATATACTTTTCGCACATCATCATGGTTGATCCTTTTTTTTTTTTTTTTT